AATTTCCATACACCGTTTAGATTACACAGACTGGTCAATTTCCATACACCGTTTTAGGTTACACAGACTGGTCAGTTTTCATGCACCCGTTTTAGATTCAACAGGCTGATCAATTTTTATAGATTATTTTAGTCTAATCAATTTCCACAGAGTGTTTTAGATTCAACAGGCTGATCAATTTTTATAGATTATTTTAGTCTAATCAATTTCCACAGAGTGTTTTAGATTCAACAGGCTGATCAATTTTTATAGATTATTTTAGTCTAATCAATTTTCACAGAGTGTTTTAGATTCTACAGATGAATCAGTTTCCTTACACTGTTTTCTATTCAATAAGTGAAATATATTTCTTACTCATTTATTTACAGTCTAGTACAAATCTTGTTGTTAATCTTTGAAAAATATTATTATATATATCTGTGTTGTTTAATCTTGAAGTTTTGTTGCGAAAATTAGACACTCGGTTTTGCTTTTGCTGGGTGTTTGCAATAGAAGTCATTTGACAGAGAGAAGGACAAAGAAAAACATTGTTTCAGAATATCAAACTCTTAAGACATTTGTTTTTGTAACTAATGTGTTTGAGCTATGGTTTTATTTTTATAACAAACGTGTTTGAGCCTTGGTTTTATTTACTTATATATATATATATTTATTTTAATGTTAATTAGGTGATTCAATTTCAGACGACATACAAACATTGGGATTTCATCAGAGCCCCAACACCACCCTTGGGCGCGTCCACGAAACATTGTTGCCGGAAGTAGATGTTTCACAAGTCTTTGTTTTTACTGCAGGTCTTGCAACGATGGTGGTCATCATTATTATTACAACCGTGATTATCTTAAAGCGGTATCAAAAGGTAAGGGTATGTTATGTGTTAACTTTCGTCATTTGCTGATTATTAGAAGCCGTCAAATTCGTTAGCGTTTATTTTCTTCGTTCGCTATTGTGAGCAATGTTTCATCCACGAAAGTCAAAGGTTAACAGACTTAGTCAGCACACGCAGAGAAAAGCATCCTCTCTCACGTCATGTCTCATCCTTTTCCGTTTGTCCACCCACAGCTGGAAACGCGAAGGTTGCGTATATTAAACGGTATGAGATTAACCAGACTCATTATCAACTGCTGTGCTTCGAATAACTTTCTCGGATAACGTGACTATAAATTATCAAGTAAGCCATTTATGTGTGTAGGTGTCTTGTGAGAATATAAAGCTTTCGAAGTTTACAAAATTGACTAGTTAATCACACAGAATTAGAGTGTTGTCTATTACCAGAAACAAGATGAAATTATAATAAGGAAGCGAAAGATAATATCATACACAAAATTAACCAAGCCATAAATATTTATTAACGTTGCCGTGTTCTAACTAGAGTGGAATTACTCTGGAGGCATTTTAAATGTCTAGAACGGCCTCTCCGTCTTTCGCACTATAAAATAAGTTGAAGATTAGAAGATACCAGCATGCCAGGGGGTATATTAACATGTAATTAGATATGCAATGACCTCAACGCTTCTATTTTAGAAATGTTGGCCCCCCCTTTTTTTAAGACGGTGTTTTATCGTATCTTATCTCTCGGTCCATGCTGTATAAATAGGTAAATCAGTTTCTTCTGTTCAAATGTCCCAGATGAAAAAAAAACAATTGCGGTTTGGCAGTAGTAAAGCTTTCAAGGCAAACAAAGCATCATCTTCCTTCGGGATACTACCATGTATCCTGGTTTTACGTCGCACAACGCTATATATATAGAATATGGTAGTAATACCTCAGATGTAATGGCCGGTTAGTAGCCTATGGTTTATTCTCTAACGACCACTACTTCTAACGTATTAGTAGCCTATGGCTTATTCTCTAACGGCCACTACTTCTGACGTATTAGCAGTCTATGGCTTATTCTCTACTTCTGACGTATGAGTAGTTTATGGCTTTCTCTCTAACGTTCGCTAGTTTTAACGTGTTAGTAGCCTATGGCTTATTCTCTAACGACCACTACTTCTAACGTATTAGTAGCCTATGGCTTATTCTCTAGTAGTTTATGGCTTTCTCTCTAACGTTCGCTAGTTTTAACGTCTACTTCTGACGTATTAGCAGTCTATGGCTTATTCTCTACTTCTGACGTATGAGTAGTTTATGGCTTATTCTCTACTTCTGACGTATGAGTGGCCGTTAGAGAGTAATCTATTTACACCTGACAAACTTTGAATGACATCTGACAACCTTTGTACTCGATAACACCTAATCAAATTGGACAAAGATATTAAAATCCTACTAACACTATAGTTCGGCCAGGCATGG